TTTTTCATCACACAATATGGTCCAGTGGCTGGTTAGGATACTCGAACCAGTAAAAAGTTAATCATGAAGTACTTTTTGAAGGATAGTTTTGAAGGTTCTCAAAGAACTAAACATTAACAACTGCCACGTGGCATCTTTGGATTGGACCTATTTAGAAGGACGGGGCGGGAGGAAGTGAACCTCTACGGTCAAGGCAAAGTTCACAAGCTAACTGTGCGTACATACCTTTTTAATAATTCTGGTCCATCATGATGAGAGTGCACCTTGGCGCGACGTAATGGCTTGCGTGCCTCCATGACCCTGCGAGCTAAACAGGATGGCTTTTCACAGCCGGAGATCAAATCATACCTGAAAGATCAACGGGTAGAGGCCAGACAAAGCTCAGTCTCACAAAGCCGACTGCTTGGCCACCCCCTGGCTTCCTTCTTCTATCCACACCCGCCCCTGGAGAGGTCACTCTAGCAAATAAACACGGTGAGGGACAGTTTACCGGTCAACAAACCACCGCTAGATGGACGTACCTGGGGCTTCCTCTCGACGGTGGGAGAAGTCCTCGCACATCATTGGACAGCTACCACCCGCCCAAGCTGGGTAGCCCCCAGTCAATAAGTTGCTGTCCCATCCACGTCCCGCTTGTTTCAGTCGGTGCATGAGGCTAAGGGCTGATCCCAAAAAGCGGACCGACAATCAACGCACCAGTGAGCGAAACACTGAACCGAAACCCGAAGGCCTTGCGTGACAGGTCTCTAGAAGCTCCCACACGGGGCTTCGTTCACACTCACGCGTTGGATTTATGCCCCACTGCCTTGTGGGTCGGACTTTTGAATCAAAGGCTCCGGTTAGGGTTCCCAAAAAACCGTCGGTGTGGGCTCCCACGAAGTATGCCGTGTCATAAAGTCTAAGCACTCATTTGGAAAACCATCTTTCCCATCTGTCCACTTCTTCTCACTGTCAAACCTTAGAAGATGCATCTTGTTTGCATCACCCATGGGATATCACCCAGCGTTCAACCAATGAGGTCAACCACTTAGAGGCAAACAGATTTTTGAAACCGAAATCTCCCTTCTACTTAGCCGTGTTCAACGTCCATACACTCCATTAGATTGGTTAACAAGCTGCCTCGGCTAGAACCCGTGAAAATTTTCAATTTAGATGTATGCTGTCTCCAAAACACGCATAAAAGACCCTACTTCAATCATCTCCCTGCGATCTCCTGATCCAACCTTAACCTCGCGCTTCATCCTTCGTGCGTCAGGTGATTCGGCATCCGAAGCTCGCGGTGTTGCTGATGTCGGGAATGCACTAAGTGCCAAGGCTGAGCGCTCGCTTCTTCACTGGATTCCAGTCAGTAGCCGACTGTGCGCTGTACGTCTCAGCGGTTCACTACGGGTCAACAGCTACAGAACGAAGCGTCGGTGCTTGTTCGCCGTATCGGTACATGCACCGACCGAATGCAGTACACCTGAAATCAAGGATCAGTTCAACAAGGTTATTTCTCAATTAATCCAAAGTGTAGTAGTCGCCGGGGGCTTCAATACTCAAGTGGGATCCATGGACGAGTCAGAAAGGCTTCTTGGCGGACTACATGCAATCCCAGCCAACCGGATGGACAAAGGAGATCGCCTACTTCAGCTTTGCGCCCACCACCGACTGTTTCTGTCAAGCACAAACTTCTCGCACAAAAAACGGCACCGCCTTACATAGAGACCGCCAAGTTCTTCACAACGCTGGACTCAAATCGACCACATTGCCATCAGCCACCGCTGGAGAGGATCCATTGAAGACTGCCGCTCCTACTGGTCAACACCCGTAGGCACGGACCATGCTCTGCTACGAGCGAGATTCTCCCTACGCCTGATAGACAATCGCAGAAAAGCCGCCGAAAACGGATGCCCACAATACACTATCACCGACAGTTGCAAATCGGCCTTCGAAGCGGAACTATCAGATCACCTCTCAACTCAACCACCAGCCGGAGGACTTAGCGAACGCTGGTCGGCAACCAAGGAAGCGATCCAGATTTCAATCAAAACGACGGTGAACTCTAG